CCGAGAGTCTGCTCAACCTCGGCGCTGCTGATATCCTGGGCCGCCTCGACCGTGTGAAGCTGTCAGCCAACTGGATGGCCGCCGTCAACCACCCTGGCGAAGGTGCCGGTCTCTATGAGGCCGTCCAAGCCATTGGTATGGAGCTGTGCCCTCAGCTCAAGATCTCTATCCCCGTCGGCAAGGACTCTACCTCCATGAAAGCATCGTGGAAGGACCGCGAGTCTGGCGAGGCAAAGAGCGTCACAGCACCCATGTCCGTCATCATCACGGCCGTCACCGTCGTCGAGGACGTCCGCAACACATGGACCCCTCAGCTGCGCCGCGTCGAAGACGTCGGTGAGACGATTCTTATCTACGTCGACCTCGCCGAGGCCAAGAAGGCCATGGGCGGCTCCGCCCTGGCGCAATCATTGGGACAGATGGGCAACGAGGCACCGGACGTGCGCAACGTGGATCTCATTACGGACTACTTTGATGCTCTGCAGCAACTACACAAGAGCGGCGTCGTTCTCGCCTACCACGACGTCTCGGACGGCGGTCTCCTGACCACCGTCGCCGAAATGATGTTCGCCGGCCGTTGCGGCGCCGACCTCATGCTCGACGGCATCGCCAAGTCCGGCTCCCCCAACGACATTCTCGAGGCCCTCTTCCACGAGGAGCTCGGGGCCGTCTTCCAGGTCCGCAAGGAGGACGAGACCAACTTCAAGCGCTGCTTCGCCACTTGCGGTCCTCCTCCCGGCCTCGTCCGCACATTCGGTGTCGTCCAGCCCAAGGGCAACCAGACCCTCAACATCCGCTACGGCGGCCACACCCCCATCGTCAGCCTTGACCGCGCCGAGATGCAACAGTGGTGGTCGAGGACGTCGTACGCCATGCAGAGGGAGAGAGACAACCCGGCTTGCGCAGATAGCGAGTACGCCATCGTCTCCGACTCGGCCGACCCCGGTCTGTCGTACAACCTTACCTTCTCTCCGTCAGAGAACATCATGCCCCTGACGGCCTCCCTCGGCAGCCTCCTCCGCAAGGCACCTCGCGTCGCCATCCTGCGCGAGGTCGGCGTCAACAGTCACAAGGAGATGGCCTTTGCCTTCAAGGCCGCCGGATTTGACCCCATCGATGTTCACATGTCCGACGTCCTCGCAGGCCGCTCACTCGCCGACTTTGTCGGTGTTGCGGCAGGCGGTGGCTTCTCCTACGGCGACGTCTTTGGCGCCGGCGTTGGTTGGGCCCAGTCCATCCTCGAGCATAAGCACGCCCGCCAGGAGTTTGAAAACTTCTTCAAGAGACCCGACACCTTCGCCCTGGGCGTCTGCAACGGCTGCCAGATGATTACCCGTCTCAAGGAGTTGATCCCGGGTACCGAGAACTGGCCCACGTTCGTCGAGAACGCCAGCAGGCAGTTCGAGGCGCGCTTCGCCATGGTCAAGATTGACGAGTCCCGCGCCGCCACGCCCTCCGTCTTTCTCCACGGCATGGACGGCTCGTCCTTCCCCATCGCCGTCTCCCACGGCGAGGGTCGCGCCTCCTTCTCCAACCCCAACGCCCTCGAGGACCTGAGCGGCGAGGGCCTCGTGCCTCTCCGCTACGTCGACAACCGCCTCAAGGTCGCGGAGCCGGAAGCCTACCCGTACAACCCGAATGGCAGCCCTGGCGGCGTGGCTGGCGTCAGGAGCAGGGACGGCAGGGTCTTTGCCCTCATGCCCCATCCCGAGCGGACCATCATGGCGGACGTCGGCAGCTACGTCCCCACGGAGCAGGTCGAGGGTTGGGGAGAGTTCGGCCCGTGGGTCAGGATGTTCAAGAGCGCCAGACGCTGGGTGGGCTGATTTTTTCTGCTTCTTTTTTTTTCCAAATACTTTGCATCAACCTTGTTCCCCTGTCTGCCTGCCTACCTTGACACCGGCTATTTTATGCCTATGAGCAGGGGGTTGGTTCAGAAGGGGAGAGGGGGTTTTCACGTTTCCGGTAACAACCAACAAGAATGGTAAAATGAGACAGAAAAGGACAGAGAGAAAAAAAAAAGGGAGGTGTGGTTTTAGCATTCGGGTACAGCAGCAGCAGCAGCAGCAGCATCACTGACGGAGGAATGGGATATGAAAGCGGATTAGACAAAATCACACAAAAAAAAAAATCAAACCTTTTTTTGTTTTTTCCACCAGGAGGGGCGGGTTGGCTTTTTCATTGGTACTAAAACAAAGACTACAAATATACACATACACAATGGCTTGGGATTGGGAGGGAAGGGAAGGGACGGAAAGGGTAGGGGGCAAAGGGGAAATGGAATAGTATTGAGGAAAGAAAGTGAGAGGGCAAGGGAAGATCGAGAAGTCCCGTCTATCCTGGCTATCCTGTCTATAGCTTTTTTTTTTGGCTTTATCGACCATAACTTTCTTTCGAGTTTTCTTTTTTTTTCGTTAACTTTGGTGATTGACATGTGTACGCTCTGTTCATCTCGTTCCTCTTTCCTCCTTGACTGACGTGTGTATTCTACTCGTCTCAGCAGGAACAAGGCCACAAAACTGTCGGGTACTTGAACGAAAGGTAACGAAGGGGAGAGAGTGTGTGAGAGACAGAGAAAAAGGCCCGAAGTTCCTTCCTGCTTGCCTTACCTGCTTCCGGCCTCAGCTATGCAGCAGGGCGAGGAGGGAAAACAGAAAGGGGCTTAGTAGCCAATATCTTCACTCAGGTCGATCTACAAATGAAACAGGATGGGCGTAGGTATCCTCGTCTTCTAGTTCTCTAGGCTTGCTCAAATGGAGGAAGATAGACATGTCTGGGGGAGACAGGCACATCATGCAGAGTCCATCGAGGGGGTTGATGGACGTGTACGTTTGTCTCCGGGGCCTACGCCTATCCCTCTCAACGGTCAAATATATTGACTACATGCAAGCACAGTTGGAGCAATTAATAGTTGCCGGTACATACTTTCCAGATGAACGCCAAACTACGTGTAGGTGCGTCTATATACGTACTGACCACTCCATCGCCGTTTCTACTCACCCATGTCCCTTATCTCGCACTGAAGAACTGGAGAAAAAGGAAGTGAAGCGTGGCAGAGAGAGGGGAGGAGGAGGAGGAGGAGGAGGAGGAGCAGCAATGACGACACCAGAGGGACTTCGTGCAACAGTGCAGATTGGTAGATGCAGCCAACATGCGGCCTCCTTCATCCTTCGTTCCATGACGCCTGCGCCGCAGACCCGGTGAAGGGGGGATGGAAAGGGAAAGGGAGATTACATTCGGGCCATCTGTATCGTCCTTGACCCTCATCCTCCTCCGCCTCCCCATCCCCTCCCTGTATCCGTATGTCGTTCCCGTATGTGGGCTGCTCCTTCTGCTGCGTTCGGCTAGGAGGGCCAAGTAACCTGCCAGCCTGCCTGCCGGAGAAGGAGGATAGTAAACAGAAACAGAGAGGGATGGGATTTGAGGAGGGAGGAGGAAAGGAAGGAAGGAAGGAGTGGTGCCTCACAGATTTGCGTGGCACTTTCGCTCACCGTCCTGCATTCGGTGAGATTCATATGCCTCCCTCCTCGGGAATCTATCTCACGGAAAGGATTCCCTCGCGCCGTGGACAAGAAGACAGCAAACGACGCAGAGACCAGTCATCTCCCAATCGTTCCGTACCAGTCAGAAAGCGAGCAAAAACCCAATCAACTGTGCCTCTCAGTCGCTCCTCCACTGCCCAGCTTTACGTACGAGATTTGGAACGAATTCCTCCTCGCCTCGGTAACCTGTCCCGATCGAGCTTGCCACAAAGATTGTGCTCCGCGGCCCGGTCTCCTTCTTCCCCCTTTGGACGGGGCGCTGTCTCTCCAACATATGTCCTGGCATATACTAGGACATATGCCAGGTGCTTGTTCGAGATGGGCCATCCAGCGCCTTGGACGAAGGGCGTCCCAACTGTACGGATCGGGCCCACTGGACGAAAAAGATGTGCTCAGACACCGAGAGGCACGCGCCCGCATGCCACTGCGCTTTGCTCGACAGGCGATGCGGGATGCCATCTCCGCCAGCCGATGCCCACATCGCCCTTGCACTGTCTGTGTGAGTGAGTTCGACCCTCGAGACAGAATGGCTGCAGCATAGGGAGTCGAGGGCACCCTCGAGGACTGCCTACTGCATGTACGCGTGCTGCACAGTTGCGGCGAGGTGCACACACACCATGGTTCCCTCTTTGGCAGCCACAGGCTAACAGCCCATCCATCTTGTACAAAGTGTACAAGGCTCCCGGGGCTAAGAAGCGCACACTGACATATCATTGGAAGGGGACAACTTCTGCAATGGTTGCGTTGACATCTTGAGAGGTTCCTGCCGCTTCCTTCCTTCCTTCCATTGAGCTAGTCCAATGCCGCAAAAGGAGAGGGTAGGTAAACTTGGGACGCTCAGTAAGGTCCGCGTCGACAGGTCGGAAAGGCCATCCGCATGGCGGCTGTTGATCGCGATGCAAGGCAGACGCGGGCGTAACATTCGCCCGTCGGCTTCACGAAATTACCCTGTTGGCTGGGAAATTTCCAAAGAGGCGCGACAGGTGCATAAGGTTCATTTTGAGTTGGCCTTCACTCAACGGCCTGCCTAGGATGGTTGGGCTTGCGTGGCTCGTATTAACGCCGGTCTGTTGAGTTGACCGAGGAGGCCTAGCACTGGGGGAGTTGGTCCATCGCTCCCAGTCTGCCCGAGGCGAGAGTTCGTTCACAATCGAGACCGAAGGACCTAGGCAGTTCTGCTGTCCTGTTCCAAGATGCGTGACGTCCTCCCACCGAATGTCTCCCTTGCCTATGTCGCAGGACGTGACCATCATAGATGATAGACATGAAATGTCGGCTAGGCGGAGACTCCTCCAGGTTGACGGGGACTAGTGATATCGGAGCCGCAGCTGACTGGGCTCCGTCGTCCCGTAGGCATGGCGTCCACCACTCGGATGGTTCGATGGCCGACTGCCCCCCTTGAGAACCACAGATCCTCCGCCAAGGGAAAGAAAGAGAAAGTTCGTGTTGGCAGGACCATCATTTCCCCTCTCCAGCGGTTGCCTCTCTTACTTGTGGCGGGCCGTCGATGGATAGCATAGGAAAGATGGGCAGTTTGGGCCAGTCAAAGGGCTTCAAAGCAGCAAAATCTGAAGAGGCGGCTCCTCCATCGAAATGGCAAGGCAATATGTCCAGTGCCGATAGCCAATCTTGGCAATGGGCCAAAACTTTCTGGCCGTTCATCCCACGGCGCAACGGCACTGGGGTCCCCATCATCGGCCCCGCCTCAAATCCACCAACATCATCTGCATCAGAGAGACCAGGAAGCCCAGGGCCATCCCAGAGCGTGCTTGGGGAAGGAAGCTTTGGCCAGGCACCGTAATTTTCTTTCCTTCTTGATGCGCCGCAAACGGTTGGATGCAGCGTCGGGGTTCCCTTGGCCAGGCGCACAAATGCCAATAAGAACGACTGCCGTGGACAGGGCCCAGGTCCAGATTGCCATGGTGGTGCCATGTTGTAAAGACCCAACTCCCGAAAGGTTAGACTGATGACCCCTGGCAAGCGTCGCCCGCAGTGCCGCAGCGAGTTAGCCTTACGGATGGACTATACGACGATAACAAATTGGTAATAAGTAACAGACCAATACTTAGTTGCACAAGTACGTTTGTTCCAGAGGAGAAGCACGCGAGAGCGTGCATACTCTGAGTCTCTGGCCCTCGCTCGTGCGGCGTAGACGGATCCATGGACAGCCATCCCATCTCATCGCCGCGTGGGCGGCGCACGCCATACCATAATTGAGGATAGACGGCCCTCTGGCTGGGCGGCAGACCAGCAACAACGCTAGGAAAGTAGGCACGTAGGATGCTGTGATGGCGTCTCTGCAGCTGCTCGTAGTGCTCCTCGTGGCGAGCGATGCGCGAAGAAAGACTTGCCGGATCCTTGGGTTTCAAACAACCTATACAAAGGCTAGCTGCTGGTCAGACCATCTAACGCGCTGAGCGGACGTTGGTCGGCATTAGATGCGATAAACGAACAAATCCCGAAGACGGGGGCTCCGACGTACTCTTCCATCAGAGAGTGAGCTAAGCGCCACATCCGGCTCATTCGGAGCGAATGAAGGGTCCCTTTTCAGCGGCTTTGCGCTATGGACTATTCAGTACGGAGTAGTGTACTGGCCGACTCTCGAGTCTGACGCCTTGCACATAGCAAGTGTACGTACGGCTAGAGTAGACTGAGCTTCGTGAGGGTTCACGGTAGCAGTCCTCTCTCAGCGTCCAGCCACCCCGGCTTGCCAATTCTAAATGAACTACCCGATGCATCGGATATTTGACTCTCGGCTGCGGCCTACCTTCAACATCGTTATTGGCCTAGGATGAAGTGTCCTCAAACTTGTGAAGTAGTGCTCTGGAGCCCCTCCAGTTGTAGTGGGCGAATATTCGAATGAATGGAAATGGCCATTCTTGGACACTCATGTGTCTACACAGAATCCGTATCTGTATGCGGATATCATGACACCAGGGGCATTAGGGGCGGATGACGGTCTCCCAAGGCCATGGTTTCGTTGGATAAGCTAGCGGTTCGGCTGCTGCGCTATCTGATCTCTGCTCACGCGGTAGGTGGTTTTGGTGCATTCGGTGCGCTCAAACGGGGAACATCGGCTATCCATAAGTTTGATGGAGGCATGGTCGACCGCGGGAGAACAGTGTCGGTAGCTGTCGAGGACTAAAGTAGCGGCCGGCTGTGTGTCATGTCTAGGATTACTCCCCAGGTGAGCCGGGCTTGTCTTGACAGGTGACCCCCCAGTCCAGCCGTTGGTGTTGGAAAGCTTGGGAACCAGCGCCGGAAGCAAAATTTCCTTCAATCAGGACCACGGAACGATGGCTGGACTTGGAATGGCTCGAATACATATGGGGGCCCACGTCATCCTCAGAAAGGGGGACAACGGCTCCGAAGTGCAGGGCCCGGGGGGTATCATCGCGGCCGGCCTGGGGATCTGCTCTCCAGGATTTCGGTCATAGATTTGGGGGTTTTGGTGTGCAATACCGCGGCTATTCTTAGACGAAGCGGAGAGGCCTTTTTGTAGTGTATGCCTCAGTAAGCTGTTGTCCGCACACGATGTGACGCCAGCTTTTTAACGCAACATCGCATCTCAGTCCTTTCCGAAAGTCGTTTCAAACAAATGGCCCGTTGATCGTTCATCCGAACTTTGCTCTGGAAATTTCGCAAAGAGTGATTTACCCATACAGCTGCCGGTATATTCAAGAAACCCATGGTTTTGTATCGCCAACCTGTCGCCGCTGAGCGCAGTAACAGTTCCAAATCCTTGGCGTAAGACTGGCAGGTCCCTCTCTGGACCTGCAGACGATGAGTAGATTGTAATGTCAGGGACCGCCCGATGCATCACTAAAAGGTGTTGACTGGATTCAGGGAGTGGACGCATGGCAGCCACGCCCGCAAGTGCGTAGGAAAGTCAGACGTAGCCCTCCCTTAGCCTTCGAGATTCGAGCATGGTGGAACATGTAGCTGCTATCAGCGGTGGTAGAAGGCCGCATGGAATGTCGCTCGAGCCTTGAGCAACGGACGGGCCCGTCTATCGTCAGCCACCGGCGTCCAATGCCCAGCGAGCGTTCCAGCCTGACCGAGCTGCGAGTATGGTGAGCCCGTTGTTCCAGCCCCCGAGGCAGACTAGCGATGAGAATTGATATCTCGCACCGCTGCCGCCCACACAAGGGATGTGACTTGGGGGCCGATCAAAGTGGAAGGTCGCTGACCTTGTTCTTGGCCCTCCTCGGTCCCTCTCTCATACGATGTGTGCGCCAACCGCACCAACAGGCCCCGTAATGCCAACATGGCCTGAGCCGCGCCCGTCCTGGGTGATAATCAGCTCCGCAAAGGCGTGGCACTGTGGAGGATGAAGTAATGAGCCCTCCCCCCACAGTACAATTGGCTCGGCCCTTCGCCAGTACTCCGTATCTCAAGTTCCTTTCCATGGACGAGGGCGGTTGTTTAGCGTCCGATCGAGCTGGGGAGCCACTAAGAGTTTGATTCGCTTTGTGAAGCCTCTTTGGGAATATGACCCCAGGGATGCTGAATTCCGCACCGCGATCTGCCCCTCACGTGCCATCCATGAATTGCGCTGGTTACCTCAGTGGCTGAGTTATTGCCCACAGGGTGTAGAGGGTGAAAGACATGACCTCAACATCTCAATTGCCGAGCTGGCTCGGAGCTTAAGATCATGGAATGGTGTGGCAGTGGATGTGCCTAGTTGAGGAAGAGGTCTCGCATTGCCTTTTATCGTACTGTGGAGTCCGTCGACTCGTTACCTTGACGCGCCGGTGCCTTCTGACTTGATGCTGCCTGTCTGCCTGTACGTAGTACACAGTAGCTGAGCCATCTGCCGAATTGGAAGCACCTCTCTCCGCACGTCAGTCGACGGCACACTCTGGATCAGCCTTGTAACGCCAGAGTGTGTGCCGTTCCTTTTGCTTTTCATCAGATATTATTCTGGCGATAAACTTTCTACAGTTGTGACAGCCCTGGTCGTCTTTTCACTGCCGACCTGTCGAGACGGTTACAGTGAACTTTGCCCCTGCTAAGCAGCCACCGGAAGTCAGGCGGAAGTGGGGCGTCGGCGAATTCAGCACCCATGGTCGGCTCGTTCGCGAAGGGGGTGTATGGCCAAGCTTAGTAGGGGCTTTTCGGATGATGCTGACATGTCAGTTTTGTGTACGCTGGGTGTAGGTCGCGGTGATTCCAGCCCGGAACCCACGGTGACTTCTAACCGAGTTTGCGTTTCGAGTAGATGCATGTTGTTGATCAAGGCAGCAAGAAGTGATATTACGATCCCGTCGTGCGTTCGAGCTCCGAACAAACGCTCAACGTTGAACGGGCTGATCCCATCTCAGATGATCAGCAGCATACCGTGGTTAATCTCGATGGGTGGTGATGGCGGCATCCCGTTATCCTGCTGCCTAACGACGATGTGGGGAATAACAAGACAGGGTGACAGGAATTTTGGAGAAGCCCTTCCCGGGAAACCGTTCAGCGGCAGCCATTGTCGAAGATTGCCATCGGGATGTCGACCTGAGTTGGGCAGGGTTGGCTGTTGGACGGAGCGCAATGCCGAGTCTAACTAGATCCAACCTCGTTCCACGCAAGGGTATGGCCCTCTGTGATTGAGCGAATACAAAGGACTGAGGAAGGTGAAGCAAAAATATCGTACCCTATTGGAAATATGGGAAAGACAAGCCGTTAGTTCTCCCAAGTGTTGCCTCTATCGTAGCAACCGTTGTACAGGCTAAATGAATCGGCTCAGAATAACCACATAGCTACCGTTTGCTGAAGCGTGGCTCCTTAATCCAGTTCCACTGGAGTTTGTTTGATGGCGCCTGTTGGGGAAAGTCGTGCGTCAAGTTGAATGCCGGCACTGGGACTCAGCATTTCGGAGAGTACTAACTCTCGTGATGACACAGCCATTGGCGGGTTGCTCATGCTAGGCCAAAGGGACTGATCTTAAGTAGCAGCCAACTATGCGGAGTAAGAAAAGTCCCTCTCATCCAGCTTTGCTGCCAGCTGATGGACTTGTGATATGCACCTGCTCAAACCAGCGCAAACTCCAGAACAGGTTTGAACAAAGGATTCGGCCCCTGGAATTATGCAGCAGACAACAAGATGAGCGAGCGCACTCTGCTCCTGATTGCAGGGCAAGGGCAGATGCACCGTTGCGGCGCGGTGTGTGTTGAAGGCCAGTGTCTGCGCGATGTTTCTCTGTCACCACACCTCAGGTAGTTGAGGTGGTTTCAACAAGATGCCTCGTACAACAGGTCCCAGCGCGATGATACCGAGACGTGTACTGGTAAGCGATTCCACGATGAAATGCCACGTTTCCCCCCCGCCATCATCGGCTTGAGTCCGGTGTACTTGATAGTAAGCTATACTTGGCCGGCTTTTGGTACTCATACGTGCGTAACGGAATAGCATGACGGCCGATTGATGGTCCGGCCTGGAGACCAACCGGAAGATAGAATCGGGCTGCAAGCTCGAAAAGGAAGTCGGTCGGTTGTCACGCCTCAAGCCACAGATCGACCTGAATCCTGCAGTAAACCCTGCTTGTTGTGTATGGGATGCGACGTGCGCGCGCAGAAGGTCCGCAGGTTTCTAGAACAGCCAGAGGGACTCCTGGTGGCAGCTAGCGCTGCCCTTTTGCAGCCAATACTGGCATGGTCCTTGCATCGTGTAGGTGATTCCGGCGGCGTTGCAGTGAATGAACAGCTGTCATCCCATCCGCAACGAGTGTCTGTGCAAACGGGTCAAACTCTTACAAGTTACTATCCGTACTTCTGCTTGTGGTCAACACTGAGGTGAGGACGACCTCTCCTCCGAACGATGAACCAGTCATGAGTCACGAACAGCGGCCGCAAGGCGGGCTCTAGTTGTGCCTGGATGGCCAGACGGATAGAATCTTCGATCACCCGCTGTATACGGCGGACCATGTCTTCTTTACCGCAGAAAAATGAGGCGTTGGCTTGAGAACGACCATACTTCCGCATAGAGAAGGAATATTTGCTTCCTGCTCTGTCTATTCGGACCGGAAGCTGTGGGACGGCGTTTATTCCAGAAAACAAAAGTGGTGTATTGGTCGCTGTGGTTGCCTTCTTTGGTTGGGTAATTGCTTGAAACTTGCGGTATTCTAGATGAACGCCTACTCGGGCGGGAGAACCAGCCACTTGCCCCAAGGGGACCAAGTCTAATTTGTCGATCTTGTTAAGAAGGCCCCTGTCAATAGTCGAGAGGGCTGAGGCTTGTCAATGAGAGACCCCTGGACCGACGCATCAATAAGGAATTAGTGATGAAGAACTGCCGTTGCCCCGTCACACCTCTAACAGTGACAGATTCCCACATCCTGGATTGCTGTGTGACCAGTGCTCTCCATGGGCTATGGCCGGCTGCGTAG